CTGGGCAACAAAGCAAGACTCTGTCTCAAAAACAAAACAAAACAAAACAAAACCCGCCAAGACTAGTAATTCTCCCCTGCCCCCTGTCCCTCTTGACAGCAATCAACACCAGTACACAAACATTCAGGTTGCTGGCTGGGCCTTTCGCTTCATAAGTAAAAGGAAGAAGCAAAGTTGGTACTGCAGGTTCTCTTACAAGACGTATGCTCCCAGATGAGCACAATACACAACTATATATCCACATGTAATTGCCATGTGATGCATTGCCTGATAAAAATTATGCTCTTTTCCTCCAAAATCACATACGCATAAAAAATGATGCCAGAGTTCAAGGAGCTAGTGAGTTTCTTGTGCTCATTGGTTAGCCCTCTAGGAGTCCATAGACCCTATAGTTAAAGACCTTCCCTTCTTAAGTGGATATGTCCATACAGTGACACACACACCTATTTATTAATTCAACAAATATTAAATGTTTCAGGGTCTTATGTTTTGGATGTAGAACCAGAATTAAATAAGATACAGCTTTTCACCAAGCTTTCAATCCAATAGCTTGGTCAAAATTTTCTCTCTAACTACATGCATTACACATATTCACAAATACACCTATGTTACGTAAATCAATAGATTTTAGGTTTTATTTTCAGTGTTTTAATGTACTAGGTGCCTACAATGTGGCACACACACACACACCACCCCACCCCCTGCCCAGCACAGAAGATATTTAAACAGTAAAATCTTTGTTTCCTGGATAAGGACTTGTCCATTTGTCCTCAGCTAAATGCAGGGGCCAAAAACAAATGCCACATCCAATAAATATGTTCAGATTTTCTAACGATACATCCTATGACTGATTGCAATTGAACTTACTCTTTTCAGCTCACCTCCCAAGGCAGAACGTAATACAAGAAATACTTATTTAATACATCCTTTTCACAGATGCGAACTACAATGTATCCATGTGTCAGAGCACAGCTGTAAGAAAGGCCCATGCCAGTCATAGATCCTCACAGAACAAAAGCTTTCCGGAGGAGCTAAGACTAAGCACTAGTTTACATAAGGAAGCACACATCCCTTTGCAGACACTTGTACTTTTGAGGCAAGGGTTCAGACACTTTGTATCACAGACTTCATTAGTGACCCGAGGAAATCTGTAGACTCATTTTCTCAGAATAGTGTTTTTAATGCATGCAATAAACTACTTAGAATTAGCAGAAAACTAATGCAATTAAATTTAAAGTTATCAAAATATTAAAAAAACAAATTGATAATAATCCAATATGTACTTTTAAAATTAATGTATTATACAACAAGAGCTAGTGGCAGGTCTGATAACTACTATACTTTTGGAAAAGGAATGAGCATAAATAATATTTTAAGATACAATAACTATAATGTGATATAAAAATGTCTGTAATTTCTATTGCAACAAAGTCACTTATGTTGCTAATACTAATATAGTTTATTTCCAACACTTATAATTGAATGTAATCTTGTATAAGTTATAAGGCTAGTAAAAATAAAGAGATAATTTGTTTCTTTTATCTAAATAAAAAAAAAAACTTTGCAGAGCTCATGTCCCCTCAAATATGGGGGCTTTGATTGAAATAGGAATTAATTATAAAATGTAATCTAGGGACTTTTGAAATGTGACCAAGACTAAACTTTGACATACAAACCCAGATAAGCATATGCAACCCGGCCCAGGGGATGAGACCAATTGGCAAGGGAGGGATTTTCCCCATGTCAAATGACTCCATGCCTTAACTACAAAATTTCTGAACACACTAAAATCAGGAAAAAAAAATTGTTCAAAGTAAAATAAATATTGTATTATTTTAGCATATACCCTATAAGATGTACAACCTAGAATATAAAAAATGGGTTCCATATACTTAAATTTTGCATGAGGAAGGGATGGAGAAACAAGGGAGGATCTCAACTGGAAAAAGAAAGAGATAACCTATAGACATGAAATTCTTGGAGCAACTGATCAGCTGGGAGACTGATTTTGATAAATACACTCTCATATCTTGCCAGCTACATTTGCTAACATCTTGCTGCTCTGACATCTCAGTGCTATTTCCTTCCCTCCTTCTCCTCTCTGTTTCTTTTGCCTGGGGCCATGGTTACTGACTGCCTTGGAGAAAGAGAGAGAGAGAGAGAGAGAGAGAGAGAGAGAGAGAGATTATGATACTGAGATAATATCATTTTTTTTTACACTGAGACAGGTCAGGTGTTATGCTTAGATCCTTTATTTCAATTGGTATTTATTTTTTTCTATTTTGTTTTGACAGGGATAACTTTTCAAATTAAATCCCTTTATTGAATTTTCACCCTTGGATAGTTTCTGAAGATGCTGCCTCTGCAAAAAACAGTAAAATAAAATAAATAAAATTAGAACTGATACATTTCATGTCTTGTGAAAGCTGAGTCTGAGATGACAGTTTGGCATTATCAACTGCCATGCCTTCAGGGGCATACGATAATGCTGGGTATAAGAAAATGTGCAGACCAGAGAAAGGGATGGCCTTGTTGTTTTTAGGCTATAGGGTTATATGTATTAGATGTCACAAGCCAGAAAGCAGCAGCATCCCCAAAAGCTTGAAAATGAAAGCAATCTGGGATGCTACCAATTCTATATAGAGCTTTCTAAACAAGGGGTGTCGTCATAAGAAACAGACCCTAAAGCTCCTTCACTCATTTTCTGTTGTGGAACTTTTCTACTCAAAGAATGTTCCACAGATCAGCAGCATTGGCACCACCTACGAGCTTGCTAGGAATGCACAATCTCAGGCTCCTACTGAATCAGAATCCAGATATTAACAAAATGCCTAGGGTGGGTATTATATCAGAATCCAGATATTAACAAAATGCCTAGGGTGGGTATTATACATGTTAAAGTTTGAGATGCAATGCTCTAAAATTTTCAGGCCATCTGGTAAGTGAGGTGATGTGTTTCCTTTTGCTTTAAGAAAAGGTTGCCCTCTCTGTTGTGTAGTAAGAATTGGACCTTGGAATCCAAGATCACATCATCTGCTCCAGGGAATGGAAGTGTCACCACCAGAGAGAGCCCATGGAGGAGGTGGGAAAGAAGCTCTGAGCTGCTGAGCTCATTCTGTGTCAGGCACAGAGGCGGGCATATTCCATATGGCAGCTTTGCCGGAGTTTACAGAGGAGGAAGGTCAGCCTTGAAGCCTGATCTGCGCCCCTATAGGCTCTGTCAAAAAAGTATATTTATTCCTCCAAGTTGGGAAGCAAAACCTCTAGAGATAAAAAAAAAAAGTTCATGGTGATTGCATAGCAATGGAGGATGTGTGGTATCTGGGGAGTGAGTTTGGGTTGCAAGACTGACCTGCCTCTTTGGCTCTAAGATGGTAAACTGCAGGTATTTCCTGCCTTTGTGTTCAGAAGAGCTAAGAAACAGGTTGACAGGCACAAATGGCAGTGATTAGGATTCTTTGAAATTGTGAGGAATCTTTTTTTGAAACAGGGAGTGCCTTGGAAATTAGATTATCACTCTCTGGCTCGGTGCTGGGCAACCTGCCACAGCCTCATTGCTCCGTGGTAATTGTGGATAGTCCATTCTCTTCCTGTCCTCTCCTCACCTCTTCCTTCCCTCTTATCTTTTCTCCTATCATCCTATTTTTCTGTACACTTTCTCCATGTCTTGTTTTCTTTTATCCCTGTTAGGTGAAATGCTCTATCTTTGGCCTAGTGGAACTCTCTCAATTGCTTAACTCTTCTTAGAATCCTCAGGACCAAAGAAGGAGAAGAAAACTTACACTGTTGTCTAAATATTTGACAGGTCAAGCTCTGTTGTTTTGTATTTTACAGGCATCGGCTTCTCTAGTTCTCACCTGGATGGGCTTTGTGAGATAGATACTAGTGTCCTCCACTTATTTAGCAGAAAACCTTAGATATGTGTTACTTAAACTTTCTATGCCTTGGTTTCCTCCTCTGTAGAGTGGGACTGACAACCTACAAAACTGTCATGAGGATTAATTGTGATAAAGTATATAATGAATATTAGCATCATTCTTGGTGCAGGGTAAGTTCTCAATCAATGTTAGCTACCACAGCAATTGTCATAGTTAATTCATTTAACTGACAGACAAGGAAACTGAGGCATAAAGAGTTGAAGTAGCTTGTTCAAGGTAACACAGGTAGTGGGTGGACTTTTGAGACATTCAGACATGAGTCTGGATCTTGGATCCTTGATATCATGTACCTAAAGCCACAATCTCCATGAAGCGTAGTCCCTCACTGCAGCATCCCTAAGGACAGTTGATAGGAATGACCAAAAGGTGAGCAGTTCACTCAACTGACTTTCTCCCCCTGCTGCTTCTGATGGGAGCACACAAAGTGATTCTCTTTTCCTGTTCTTTCCAGGTGTTTTGTGAATCTCCAAACAAGACAGTGAGGTGCTGCCTGGATGAGAGCTCACAAAATAAGGAGACTTAAAAAAAAATCAAAACAAAATAGCAACAACAACACAATGCTTTAGGAATTGGGAGTTTTGGAATTTTTCTCTTTACCTGGAAAAGACATCTTGATTGGATGAGAGGGCTGTGCTGGAGTCACCATTTATGTCTGATACGTATTTCCAGGGAATATATATTTATCTTTAATTTTATAAATATATTTGCAAATATACATTTATGACAATTGTTATGATTATTTTGCATCACTGAGGACAGGAAAAGTCCTCATGCTGAAACAACTACTTCACTTGGATACTTGGATTATTGCCACTGTGCCATTGTGCTCATCTACCTGCCCTTAGCCCTTCTGAATGCAAAGGCAGAAGATACCTGCATCCTGCCAGCTGAAAGCCAAGAGAAGCAGGTTGCCTCTGCAATCCAGCCCCCGCCCCCCAGCCCCGAAACCACACATCATCCATTACCATGCACACATCGTGAAATTATTACACAGACTTGGTTCATGACAGATTTACAGAACTAATATTACTAAGAACATTGGAACAATGTTGATTTACTTACGACCATCTATAGTTCTGGCCTCGAGATGCACGAGGTCTGGTTCCTTGCTTGACCCCATGACAGACCTGAGGAATGGAGAAACATGAAAAGGAACATCCACATTAATGACAGCTCACATGCCTTAGAGGAACTCAGCAGAGCCCACAGACTTAATATCCAGAGGCTTCTAAAACCACAACCCTTAGAATATATCTACTCTATTTATTTGCATAGGCTGACAGTAAAATTTCCACTTCAAACAAAAATGAAAATGAAAACTTTATTTGATGAAGGCCAGGCTTGAACTCTGGCAAGGATATTGACGTTATTAGCTTGGACTTGCAAATAGATCCTATACACGGTATGCACAAACTCTCGCAACAACCCCACTGACAATGTATTAAGCTTTTGAAACTTATCAGGCACATGCCAGGCATGCTCCTTTAGCTGGGTGATTTAATAGCAAAATGATCTAATTAATTTTTTCATTTGAAATTTGCAGAACTATCTACTACTGCCCTATGAACTATGAACAAAGCACATGACCCATCCAAAGCAGTGACATCTACAGCATACAGTGACCATTCTTGCTATTTTTGAACCATGGTGAAGGGGAAAATGCAGATGCATCTCACTTTCTGATACATGCCTGAAACTGTATGTGTAAGTAAAATAAAAGCCTATTTAAAATGCCTTGGAGGCACTTATTATTTGTGTAATCTTGCAATGAGCTGTATTAAATAGAAAATAATTATTATTCTGTTACATAAATGAAATGGGCAATCACACTTTATCTCTAGGATTTTTATACAGCAAGATTAATTAAACTTGGGACCATCTGTATCTTTTTATTCCTAAATCAGATTTGCGGAACTTTAATTCGTTCCATATCAACATGGAAAATACTTAAATGCCTCCAAACTGGTCTGTCTGTCTGTCACCAGCCACTCAGCCCAGCCATCCAATCCATCCTAGAAAATGCAGATGTTGCAAATATTCATCCCTTCAGGATTTAGTCTGGTACCCAAGTCCCTACACAGATAAGCACCATCTCATGTTTACTGCCTCATCTTCTGCCACACTGAGTTTTCCATTCCCTGAAAGCTTTTGTCTTTAGCTTGAAATTGAGGAGCTTACTTTATACATTTTATACTCATATGGGTTTATATATATTTATACAATTTCTGGCATATAATAGATAGTCAAATGTGGAATGAAAAAAGGAAGAAAGAAAGGGGGGAGGAGGGAGAGAAGGAAAGAAGAAGAGAGAGACAGAGGGAATAAAGGTCTGGGAATTCTTTCAAATAAGTCAATGAATCATTGTCCCAGGAGCATTCCCAGAACGCTCCTTACTTGAACTCATTTTTACAGCTCAAAGAGTCTGAGGCCTAGCTAGTTTATTCACTCTCCATCTTTAGAAAAGAGGTTTCCTTAAGGCCCTAATATTGCTGTCAGTAAGATTTCTCTGATTGATACATGGCCTGAAATTCAGAGTCTACTCTTGAAACATTAAATCCTTCTTGCTTCTCCCGGGAAGCAGATATTTCCTAATCAGGGTTTTATAATTTCCCTCAATTAGGCATGGAACAAGCATTTGGACATTTCACATCTTTGAAACCTACTTGAATACAGACAGAAGGTGACCCTTTCATCATCAGTCCACTTAAGTACTGTAGTGACTAACAGGCTATGCGTGGTGGCTCTCCATCTTCCCACACTGGTGTTGACTGAATCTACTGGTGACCCCTTCTGACAAGACTATGATGAGTCATGAACATTAAAAAAGAAAATGAGCTGTATGATAAGCCTCAAACTAGAAAAGTTTGTAGTCAACTGTTTTTTTTTTTCAAAATATTAATGGGTAGTTACATGTTGTTCATCTGCCCACATTGTATACTGCTCTGAGTTTTTCCCCCTTGAAAGAAAGGTCTACCACCATTTATTCCCAGGAGAAGGCCCCAACTAGCATGCAAACCTATCTGCTTGGTTTATAGTTAGTGTTAACAGTAAACAAAATAACTACCCAGCATCCAGTGTATCTCTCCATGTGCTCAGGGCCCTAAATCAATAATAGCAGTAGTTTCTTAAAATATTATATTATGCCAAAACGCAGGAGCTGTTGTTTCAAGTGACATTCCCCCCACCCCCCTTTTCAACCAGCAAAAAAGAAGCAAGAGCAAAATAGAGTCCTTTACTTTTCCAAAATCTATGGTGGCTAACCAATCAATCCCCTTACCGTGCTTAAATTTTTTCCTATTTATAGTAAAACAACTACAACAATGAAATAAAACTTTATATTTTCAAGTCGAACCACAGTGTTTCCTATAATTTTTTATTTATTGACACACTCACCCCTAGAACTAGTGGTCTAGGAGGACTTCTAGCAGTCATTGATGATAAAGAAATTACTGCTGCTTTTACTTTATGGCCCTAGTGAGTTCTTAATTACTGAAGCCAGTCAATGCTGAATGTCTGTATAGGTGTGATTTTAGTGGTCCTGTGATTGACCAGACACCTTGGGGAAGCACATCACTGCAGGTGACCCACATGGTATCATTATTATAGTCCATATATACCCCTGCATTTTAGTTAAAGCTATGGAGTTAGGTGGTTTTCTGTGTGTTTTAATACCAACTATTATGTTTCTTAATCATCACCATCATCATCATCATCATCATCAAAGAAAAACAGCACAGACATAGAATTTAATGCAAAATGAACTCTTTGTAGAGTGAGATCTCAAGATTGGCTTTAAGCATCTCCATCCAAAAATGTTAGTAAGTTCAACTTCTGGTATTAAGCACAAGGGGTTGGACACCTTTGCTTTACACTTCTAGATCACCCTTTACACATCAATGTCCTGGTACATCATAATTTGCCAGATCTCTGTATAAATGACTCTCTTTTTACAATGGACTCCCAAAAGACAGGCACTCTGTTTTTTATCACCTAATTCTCTGTGCTTACAAAAGTATAGAGAAGCAAGTTTTCATAATAAATATACAGACAACATTCTTACACTGCTCAATATTTATTATTATATATGATATAGTATGTTATTCAATTATGTGATCACGAAGAACCTCTCTACAAATATGAGATGAAAAATTTGGTCCAGGATCCCTTAATTATAGAAAAATGCAACAGGGAAGCTGTATCTTGTAAACCTTTATATTGCCTTTATGTCAAACCAAGAAAATGAATTCCCTTCTTGAACTGAATTTTGTGGGAGGGAAAGGGAGTTTTCATGCCTGTGCACATGCTGGTGTCTGCTTGGAATTTTCTCTCACCCTTCTGCCTTCGTAACTTTTATCTCATGGCTCAGGTGCATATGGCTGAAGTTGAAAATAGGCTTCTCAGTGGGGGAGCTACTTAAGCCAAGTTGGTTATCCTTTCTGAGATTTCCAGAACAATGCACATACTTCTGCACGGCAAAGATTAGGCAATGTTATAACTGGTGACTCATTTGTCAATCTCTCTTCTTGACAGGCAAACTTAAACCTTTCTGTATCTGTGTTCCAGACACCTGTATGTCACATACAGATACTCAAAAAATGTTTCTGAATTGTTTTGGAGGAAGGAGAAGCACACAAACCAGGTACATCAGCATTTATTAATTGATCTGTAGATGTGACATTTGGAAAACTTAACATATCTATGCATTTATTTTTTAAATCTATAAAAAGAGGCTATAATAAGTTTCATAGAATATACTTTTTAAAGAAACTAGGGTTCCAATATTCAAGGTGCTATTTGAAGACATAGGAAGAATGATCTTTTATCTGCATATAGAGCCCTGGGGCAGAAGGAAGGTCCCCCCAGTAAATGAATTGAACCTTCAACAATACACAGAGATATGATTGATGGACTAAAGAGGTGGAAGAACATTCTATTTAGAAGTAAATAGCAAAAACAAAGGCCCTGGATCAAAGAGAGGGTGATGCATATAGACATCTATAGTAAGTCAGTAGGCTGGATTCAGTGTTTTCGAAGTAGAGCAGTAAAAAAATGAAAAGTTAACACAGGTCCAATCATGAAGCACCTTTTGCATAATACTAAGGTTTTGTATTTGATCCTAAAATCTATGGAATGGGGTACTAAAGAAATTTAAGCATGTAAATTTATAAGCAGATAAAAAGAAGACCTTCAGTCCCCATCTATGTGCGGGCCTCCTTATTGAGTGACAGTATGAGGTGCAGGTGCACAGGCAATGCTAGATCAGCTCTGTTGATGGAAACAGGACAAAGCTTGATGTAGCCTTCCCCTTCTATGCTTCCAATATCTTAAGCCGGTTTTCACATTTAGAAGCTATTTTGGAATAAAACCTAAGGATGACCAAAGACAAGAATATGAATAAAAGTAAATCATACCATGATAAATTACACCAGTGATGTCAGCAGTGCCACATCAGCCTTCTGAAATACAATCAGCCAAATGCAACCTTTGTAGACATTTGCTACAGAGAAACTCAGAAATGTCACTAGTTTATCATGCGTCTGGCATTTTATCTGAGTTTATACCAGCGTGATATAGTGCTCGATAAATGCTGCAGAACCACAAAATGTCCTGATGTAGATAACCACAGAGCAAGTATTAAAAAATGAACACCATGCAAGGACAGCACCTATTCAGATGCAGAATTGCAGTTAATGGCATGGGGAGGCATGAGGAGGGATCTGCATAGGAACAGATGCTGGAAAGATAGAGACCCCTGCCTTCCTTTTTTTTTTTTTTTTTTTTTTGCTTTAGATGGAGCCTCCCTGTTTCCACAGGTCCTCTCCAGAAACTGTGCCCACTGCAGCAAGTGGTCCTGGTCTGCTATCCAGAGAAGAAACAAAGTGTGCCTGGCAGGTATTCACAGTGGGATACCTTGATTTTCTCTTTTGCAGTTAAGGGTTTCCCTGTACCTGCCACCATAGTTAGGCTCTCAGACAAAGACCATCAAGAAAACCCTGGCTAAGGCCACAACTTTTATTTTTGAAAATAGCATCTTAGCCTGAGGTCTCATCTGCTGCACAACGAGAGCAAATGGGCTAGATAATATAAAGCAATCTAAAGGTCCCATTTTAGCCTGTCCCTTAAGCCT